ACTCTGACTAAAGCTCTTCCCACATTCGATACATGGATATGGTTTCTCCCCCGTGTGAATTCTTTGATGTGTCCGAAGGCTATTGTTGTGACTGAAGCTCTTTCCACATTCTATGCATTTATATGGTTTCTCACCTGTGTGGGTTTTTTGGTGTGACCAAAGGCTACTGTTGCGACTGAACCTCTTTCCACATTCTATGCAGTTATATGGTTTCTGACCTCTGTGGGTTATTTGATGTGACCTAAGTAGACCACTCTGACTAAAGCTCTTCCCACATTCGATACATGGATATGGTTTCTCCCCCGTGTGAATTCTTTGATGTGTCCGAAGGCTATTGTTGTGACTGAAGCTCTTTCCACATTCTATGCAGTTATACGGTTTCTCACCCTTGTGGGTTATTTGATGTGACCTAAGGTGACCACTTTGTCTAAAGCTCTTTCCACATTCCATGCATTTATATGGTTTCTCCCCAGTGTGAGTTCTTTGATGTATGTTGAGGTTTTGGTTGTGACTGAAACTCTTTCCACATTCCATGCAGTTATATGATTTCTCTCCAGTGTGTGTTCTTTGATGGGACGTAAAGTGAGCACTCTGACCAAAGCTCTTTCCACCTTCCATAGATGGATATGGTTTCTCCCGTGTGAGTTAAATGAATTCTACTGAGCAGACATGCATTTATGTGGTTACTCCACTGCATAAGTTCTTTCATTTGACGTCCATTCCTGTCCACTTGGATTTTCAATTCTGTTTTCTTGCTTGATTATCAGTTCCTGCCTAGGATGCCCAGGTGTCTTTGGGCAATTCTTCTTCTGTTCCTCATCTGGTAGGGAAAAAAAGAATACAAATAACCACTTCAGAAATCTGCAGGGATAAGGAAAGATGCATTGGGGATGTACCTGAGTCTTGGAGGAGGAAGGAAATACAGGCAAGAAGGTGAGGGAAGAGAATCATGGAGGGCAGAAGGCCGTATTCCTTTGGGATTGAGGTGAGAAGGGCACTTCACTGAGGGAGCTTTTGGGGAGAGGAGTCATGAAGGGAGGATCATTTCATTTGGTAGAGGCAGATTTACAGCCTTCCCTTATTAGGGTAAAATTATATTATGGAAAGTTTATAATTATGTGATTTACTTATTCCATTAGAATGCTTTTTAATGAAAATGTGGCAGGAGGAATTGAAGTTTACTTTGTGATTATAAAAGAGGCTTATTTAAAGAAATATTTAAGGAAATTGTCGTCATTTAGTCGTTCCATTGTGTCCGACTCTTCGTGACCCCATGGACCAGAGCACGCCAGGCCCTCCTATCTTCCAATGCCTCCCGGAGTTGTATCAAATTCATGTTGGTTGCTTCGATGACACTGACCAACCATCTCATCCTCTGTCGTCCCCTTCTCCTCTTGCCTTCACACTTTCCTAACATCAAGCTCTTTCCCAAGGATTCTTCTCTTCTCATGAGATGGCCAAAGTATTGGAGCCTCAGCTTCAGGATCTGTCCTTCCAGTGAGCACTCAGGGTTAATTTCCTTTAGAAAGGATAGGTTTGTTCTCCTTGAAGTCCAGGGGACTCTCAGGATCCTCCTCCAGCACCACAGTTCAAAAGCATCAATTCTTCGGCGGTCAGCTTTCTTTATGGTCCAGCTCTCACTTCCATACGTCACTACAGGAAAAACCATAGCTTTGACTATTCGGACTTTTGTTGGCAAAGTGATGCTTTCTAAGATGCTGTCGAAGTTTGTCATCGCTTTCCTCCCAAGAAGCAGGCGTCTTTTAATTTCTTGGCTGCGATCTCCATTTGCAGTGATCATGGAGCCCAAGGAAGTAAAAGCTGTCACTGCCTCAATATCTTCCCCTTCTATTTGCCAGGAGGAAATTGTAGAAGCTGTTAAAAAGGAGAAGAAAATCGCCAGGTGCAGATGGACTTCCAGCTGAATATTACAAAAAATAAAATAAAATTGGAAGATGTATTGCTTAATTTATATAAGGAACATCTGGAATTCATAGAAGGGAGAAATACCACCAACATTGTCTGAAGCAACGCTCTATCTTATATGTAAAGCAAAGACATAACAAGTAACTGCTACTTCCTGTGTTGTTTCGATGCTGTAAGCTGGAGTGTCCTCTCCAGAGCAAGAAGCCTGGGCAAAATAATATGTAGGATATGCTGTTACCCAAGCAGCAAATTCCCCCCTCTCCACGTCACTGAAATAGTCGAATGGAAAAACAAGAACCAATAGAACTGGTTCCAGCAACGTCGCAGGAGTTGCCAGAACAACATGAATTGCCTCCGGCTCTGGAGTTTGCCTCAAGGTTAACTCCTGAAGCCTTTTCCATGAGTGGATATAGCCACAAGGCAGTGGAGGTTTAAAATTGGAGTTTTCCTTCTAGATGGGCTGCCTTCCAGAGCTGATGAGCCCCACCTACCCAGCCATGGAAAAGCAAGCTTCTTTCCTTCCTTCTGCAAAAGCCTACTCATATTCAGGAACCAAAGAGCACGACTGCTTGTCAATTTTACAATGGAGGACTGCTTTAAGAATGCTTTACATGAGCTTCAAATGAACATCGTTATTTAAATGATGGCCCAGATCTCTGAAGTTAAGGCGTTGTTTTCAGGATGGAACAGAAAAGAAGAGGATCTGAAGATGCCAGACTAGCTTATTGAATCAGAGGCAGCACCAGAGAGAGTGACTTTATCTGTTTTTAAAAAGGATGGTAAAACCACCAAAAAGGAGGCCAGAATAATCAATGTGTATGATGAGAGGGAGGGTCAGGTGGATGAACGAGGGAGTTATATAAAGGAGAAGATTACTCCAAAAATAGACATTAATTTGATGGGAGAACATTCAAAGCAGGAAAGTGGGAAGGCGAAACTGGAAGGGCAACAAAATGTTGAATACAGACTAGATATTGACTGGCTTCAAAGGCAGAATATGATTGATAGAGGGATAAATTTAGTAAATTGGAGAGAAAATGGCTTAAAAAGATTTTATAGATGGCACTTTAAAACTAGTAAAGAGGATGCAGGAATTTAATTTTGGGTTAAAATGCTATAAGTAATTTGGGATTCTGGTCTATACATGGAGCTGGGAAATATAACAAAAAATTGAAAAGTTACTTGCTGAACGATTTAAATGGTTTGATAAGTACATATAACTTGAATAACTCTTAAATTAGAATACTCATATTGAATATAATTGTTAGACATTATTGATGACAAGATAGATATACAAAGACATTAAGTAATATATGAATCATAATATGACTATGTAGCTAAAGTTATCTATATAGATATCCTTTTTCTCTTTAAAATATTGTTTTTTTCCTTGATTGTAAGTACTATTATTTTGACATTTAACTGGATATAATAAGGATGCTGGGATACAATCATACAGGATATAGTGGTAGAAACTGTTGTTTTTTACATATATGGGTAATAGATAAGCATAGAAAAATCTTAATTTAGAATGTTTTATGTTAAAGATAATAATAGAAATGTTTGAATGTAAGATCAATATAGGTCTAAGTTTATATTTTAGATAATGCATGTATGTTAATCATTATAAAGTTAGGAAGCTAAATTTTATTTATTTATTTATTTATTTATTGCATTTATATGCCGCCCATCTAGACATAGTCTATTTTGATCTTAATAATGGTTTAAATATGTTAGTAGGGTAATATGGTTTATGAAGTCAGCATTATGTATTAGATGAATATATGGAAATTACCATTTACAGAAAATTTACAAAAAAATAATAGAAAGAACCAACTTTCAACGAAGAGAAGAGCGTCGGATACTTTGAAATTCAAATCACAAAGAAAACAAGTAGACTCTTCAAAGACAATTATATGAAATTGATTGAAGAGATACAGAATAGCTTGGAGAGATGGGATGAATCACAGTTGTCACTGATGGGAAGAATAGCTACCATCAAAATGAATATTCTACCAAAAATTCTACTTTTATTTCAGACAATTCCTGTGATATTAAAACAATCATTTCTCCAAGAACCTAACAAGATAACCATGAGAATTGTCTGGCAGGGTAAAAAACCAAGAATCAAAATCAAAGCAATGCAAGATGCCAAAAAGAGAGAGCAGGTTTTGGTCTCGCAGACTGGATATTGTATTACAAAGCCTGTGTATTAGTTTGGATAAGGGCATGGGAAACTTTAGATAATGATACACTACTTATGGTTATTGTAGGTTTTTCAAGCTGTTTGACCCTCTTCCGAAGGTTTTTCTTCCTAACATTTCACCAGTCTCTGTGGCCGGCATCTTCAGAGGACAGGAGTTAGAACTCTCGTCTGTGTTCTGGTGTAGTTTGTGAGATAGTTGAGTATTTATAGCTGTGGGATTAACTTTGGGGTGGACTTGTATTTTTCAGGAGACTGGGTGATTATAGTGATCAGGGTGTTTTTTGTTATGGGTGTATTTTTGTGATAAGGGGGGAGATGGTCCATTGCTGTGATTGATGGTTAGATAGTTGAGTATTTATAGCTGTGGGATTAACTTTGGGGTGGACTTGTATTTTTCAGGAGACTGGGTGATTATAGTGATCAGGGTGTTTTTTGTTATGGGTGTATTTTTGTGATAAGGGGGGAGATGGTCCATTGCTGTGATTGATGGGTGTATTCGTTTAGTCGTTTAGTCGTGTC